CCCCAAAACCCCAAAACCCCAAAACCCCGAGTCCAGTATTTCTGATAGAGTTTTATAAATTCAGTCATTTTTCTACTCTCTTAAATTTCTCTTTAATCGTTGCCCACTGAACCCTGCCACATCTTCTAATTTCTTTGACTCATTGATTTTCGATGTAACGTAAAAGATTAAGTTTGCTATGAACCTGTTCTGTTTCCTTGGGTAGCATCTTAGCCTTTGCATACGATTCTTCACGAAGGATGGAGTCAATTACTAAAGAGTCCTCAGGCGAGAGATCCCATTTGCTAAAGTCCTTTGTACTTCTGGAGCTCCAAAGCCTATCTTTCTTTGCTTTAAGGTCATTATTCATCTTTTTAAAAGTGTATTCTACATCCGATCTTAGCTTGTTAAGCTCTTTATATGAGTCAGCTTCGAAATGATGGTAAGTGAACTCATGACTAAGTTCAGTCTTGAAGATCAAAGCCTTTTCTAGTACTTGCTCGCTGTAAGAAATTGTTAAGAACTGGAGCTTACCTATACTTGTTTGAGACTTCCTTAATGTGCTTGTATAGCTTTCCAAATTCCTCAAATCCTCATACTGAATATAATTTAGACAAATGTTTGAAGCATTCACTGAATTTCCTCAGTGATTTATTTAACTGTAAGCTGCTATTTCTGGATCTCCTCAGTGGCTTCTTCTAAGGATTTAAAAATGGATTGGAATCTGTCAATAAATTTAGAGCTATAGTTCTTGATTAGCTCTGGATTAGCTCGACTCTCGTTGATGCTCACCTTGCCATCAATCGTTCAGAACTCATTCAGCTCAATAGGCTTTGGATATCTATCATGCTTCTTTCTGATTGGCTTGAACTTATTCTCATTCGGAACGGTCAAAAATAATTCGAGATATTTACATGCCCGAAGTTCTTCATTTGCAAGAACATCATTTAGAAATTTTTGGAAGAAGAACTCTTTCTTCTTTAAAGAGGAGGCATCATACATTGATTTTGGAGTAACCAGTGGTGGGATTCAGTATTGAGGGAACATTTTGCATAGGTATTCCCTAAGTTTTACAAAATCAGTCTCCCTCCTTTTGGTCATCCAGCCAAACGGGTTCGTAACAATTGTGTACTCGTTATATGCGAATTGGAAAATTCCGCCAGGACAGTAAGTTGCCTCAAGAACGTTAGCTGTAACAGAAGCTTCTGCTAGAAGTTTAGTCTCATCTGAAGTCTTGATATCAGCTATATAGAATCCGACTGCTACAGGCTCAGGCATTTCAGGGAGAAGGTCTTCCTTGATGATCTCTTCAAGAGGCTGATTCCTCATTGTTTTGCCTCTTTTAGGAGTATTTGCATTATCAAGCTTTGGGACGTCTATAAGAGCGAGTAAATTTTTTGTAATTAGAATGTTGTCACAGGAATTCTAGAAATTTACCTTTAACTTCTTCAGGCTGTATATTATCAAAATCATTTTCCTCATTGAGAAAGAAATCATCAAGCGCCTTTTTGACATCTTTTGAAATTTCGGGACTCCGATTTTTAATTTGCTCTTGTTCTCCATATTCTGGATTTTCCTGGGAATGTAATCCTACATTATTTTCTTCAGATTCATAACTAATATTTTTAAGAAATTGGATTTCTCTTTCATTAGATTCCTTTTCCTTACTCTCTGTATGATCATCCTTACAAGCTTGATCATCCATTGAACACTCAAACTCTTGAGTTTGGTTTCAGTCCAAATTATTTGGCTTATTTGTCTTCATATCAGGAGATTCTTCAATCTTGGCTTCTTCAGGATGAATAGACATCCTTTCCTTTATCCTTCTCTCCTTCATCTTTTCTCTCTCGGCTGGGTGTATATACTCATAAAGCACATCTTCTTCACTTGAGGACTCAGATTCTTTAACAACTGGGTTATCTTGAGACTGTTGAAAAGCGACTACCGCATCATAAAGCTCATCAAATGTCCAGAGGTCAATATCAGTCCCATTTTCCTTACATTCGTTCATGTAAACGGCAAATTTAGCTTTGTCATATCTCTTTTTGACAATTTCATCTTGTAAGAAGAGCTGCTTCTTTTCTCTCTCACTTCTTTCGAAATCTTGGTCGGTTACCTCCATTTTAGGATGAGTTTATAATTGATTTTGCAGGGGTTTTGGGGTTTTGGGGTTTTGGGGTTTTGGGGTTTTGGGG